GCACTCTGATACAATCACGAAGAACCAAGAGTCCTTGGTCGATCAGATTTTTGCCAAGCTAGCTGACCTACGTCAGACAAGTGCACCTGGGGCAGGTTCATCGGAAGGGGTAACTATGCCACCTACCTCGCAAGTGGTTGTCTCACCTGTAATCTTATCATAACTTCAATGGGACTCATCCGTTGCAAAAGCAAAGACCCCATCTGTTGCAAAGATACAAACTGTTGTATCTAACCTTAAGAACAATCCGGGTTATTACCATATATCGGATTTGGACGAAGAGGAAAAAACAAAGAAGATAGAGGAGAAAATCAAACAATTGGAGGACCAAATGAATGTAGTTAAAGAAGACCATTACTACAATGGAGTCAATGCCGTGGAACTCAGTCTAGTCCCAGACTTGGTTCTTCCTCCAAAATTTAAGTCCCCAAAATTGGAGAAGTTCAATGGAAACAGCTGCCATCTGCCCACATCACCATGTTCTGCCGAAAGATGACAAGATATGGAGGAAACGACCAACTCCTGATCCATTGCTTCCAGGAGAGTCTGTCGGGCTCAGCCATCCGGTGGTATAATCAGCTAAGTCAATCTCATATTAAGACTTGGAAGGATTTGGCCAAGTCATTTCTAGAACAATACAAACACATCAATGACATGAGGCCAGATCGAGTTATAATACAAAGCATGGAGAAGAAGCATAACGAAAGTTTCAGACAATACGAACAGAAATGGAGGGACTTAGCTGTGCAAGTTCATCCACCTTTGGATGAGAAATAAACCCGAAAGCTCTTCATGCAAACACTAAAGGCTCCTTACTTCTGGCACCTAGTTGCTATCACATCCGGTAATTTTTCAGACTTAGTCATGGCCGGGGAGATGGTGGAAACGACCATAAAGCAATGAGAGAATGAGGAAGGGGAGACAAGCAAGAAACCTCCTATGAGGAAGAGGGATGGAGAGATTAACAACGTCAACACCTACAATACTAATAAAGGTGTTACGATCTCCAAACCAAAATCAACTACAGCTGTACCGTCAGCTACTTCTAGTCAAGATTCCAGAGAGCCTAGGAAGAAAATGGAACATTTCGACCCTATTCTCATGACCTACAAAGAGCTTTACCAATAACATTTTGACACCCAAGTAGTGTCACCATATCATGTGGAACCCATGAAGCCCCCATACCCCAAGTGGTATAATGAGAATGCTCATTGCGAATATCATGGCGGTGTCCCAGGGAACATTATTGAGAACTGTTACGCATTTAAGAGAATCGTGCAGAAGATGCGTAACAAGAACTGGATCGACTTCAACAACTCGGAGGCATCCAAGTGAGAAGGAAGATCATTTCATCATTTGCAGGATCCTGCTTGAATTCGTTTTTTGAACTTTCTCATATTTTTGGTGTAATTTGTTTTTTGAACTTTTTTTATATGAATATTTAAATAAATTTATGCTACTTCAAAGATTGTGAGCAATGAATCAAATTTGCAGACTTGAAATTCTTTGAATATCAACCGAACTAAAAAAACTCTGTAAATAATTGAAGTTATAGATTTTTGACAAAGTAGCAGGATTAAACAAGGACTTTTGACCTTACCTAAGAAGATACGCTAAAACACTGTATCATTCTCCTGTAAATAACCAATATAGCCTTCTCATCTCATAAGGGAATGAAAAAGAGGTTTGGTATTTAGATGTGCATAGGTGCGGAAAACATGGGGCATTTTTTTGCATATGACATTACTATACTTTTTGTTTAAGATGTTCAATGATGATCATGATCTTTACAGATGGAATAGTTGAGTAGGTGAATCTAGTTTAGGTAAGTTGCTTGGAAATTGAACTCTAAAGATGAAATATCTTGACTTTCAACAACACCTAGACTATAACAGGTTCTTCTTGATAAACTTAAGAAATTGGATCCGTATACCCAGATTGTAATATTATATATATACAACAAAGCTTGAACTATCCCTATAAAGCAATTGGTTAAACGCCTCGGCTTTATGGATAATATTCACCTAGCCTGATAAAGGTGATTATAATATATATACAATAAAATTTGAGTTGTTCGTCTAAGACAATTGGTTAAACACTGCGGCTTTATGGATAAGATTCAGCTAACTTGATAAAGGTGTTTATATATTGAGTTGTCCCTCTAGTGCAATTGGTTAAACGCTCCGGCTTTATGGATTCAGCTAGCCATACAATGGCAAATTAAGTCAAATTCACTTAAATAAGGAGTTTCGATAAAGATGGACTAAGGGAGTTAAGGAACACCTGTTATAGTCAAATTCACACGAGCACTCAGGAATTTCATTTTTAGACCAATATATCTACACTGCCTTTGTTAGAGGAGCCTACGAAGCTTGAACAAATGGAGGATTTTAGAGGGCCAAAATAGAAGGTCTAGTAGTTGATTATGCTAGTTGCGTCACTTTGTCCGCATTCGATTAAAATGTCAAGCCAAGAAAGAGAGGCATGTTGCAATGTTAAAAAAAGACACTTTGGTGGCCAAAATCTTAGAAAATAGGAAGCCAACCTGAAACCAACTCATCAACTTGAATATTTGTCAAAGAATTATAACTCTGAAAGCATTAAAAGAGCTATTGATTCATTTGATATTCTTTGAACTCATGTTTATGATTTGATTCGATTGCGAGCCTAAATTAAGGAACAATGTTTTACATAATTCTTATATCATTTTCCCCTCCTAAGATAAGAGAAAAGAGAAAAATATTTTCAAACATGACAATCTCAAATATAAAAGGTCCTTGAAGCTGAAACCCGAGAAGAAAATGGGACAAGATTGATTTCCAGGACCAGATCGATTCCCAATACCAGATCGACATACAAAGAACGAGACTCCATCCTGGAGATAAAACAAAACTAATTCATATTACATACATCTTAGATATACTTAAGATTATTTTTTGCATACATAATTTGTGCAGCTTTTAGAGTCAAGTTTCGACTTCAAGACGAAAGATACTCGATTCAAAAGCACCTTCAAAGATCGATGGTGGTTGCCTAACTCATCAGTGAGAAGCTACACCTCAAGAAACTTGACATATTGGAAGATCGACAGATCTCAAAATCAACTTCAGACAGGGTCAAGATCCAATTCAGAATGAATCCAGTACAACTTAAGTCAATGAGAAGCGGCTATTTTCAACTTCACGACGAGTGATATCCGACTAATAGAGTACCTCACTTGTCTTTCTCACAAAGAGAAGTCACTCGAAGAACACCTCACATGACTTTCCCGTGAAGGGGAGTCATCCAAGGACCATAATAATTGGTTCAAACCCGCTAAGGGGAACCACCTGAGAAATTATGACCGGCTTAAACCCGCGAAGGGGAGCCATCATTCACGTAAAGGAACTGTTGGCAGCATAACTCATGGCGAGAAGGGTTATCTGTCAACCAAGACCTTCGAGTTCGATTACATTCAGCTCAAAGGAATATTAAATTTACAACATAGCTCAGGCGAGAAGGTCTATCTATCAACAAAGACCTTCGAGTTCGATTACATTCAGCTCAAAGGCACATCAAATTTACAGCATAACTCAAGGTGAGAAGGGTTATCTGTCAATGAAGTCCTTCAAGTTCGATTACATTTAGCTCAAAGGCACATCAAATTTGCAGCATAGCTCAAGGCGAGAAGGGTTATCTTTCAATAAAGACCTTTGAGTTCGATTACATTCAGCTCAAAGGCATATCAAATTTACAGCATAGCTCAAGGCAAGAAGTACTATATGTCAACAAAGACATTCGAGTTCGATTACATTCAGCTCAAAGGCATATCAAATTTACAGCATAACTCAAGGCGAGAAGGGTTATCTATCAATAAAGACCTTCGAGTTCGATTACATTCAGCTCAAAGACATATCAAATTTACAACATAACTCAAGGCGAGAAGGGTTATCTATCAATAGACCTTCGAGTTCGATTACATTCAGCTCAAAGACATATCAAATTTACAGCATAGCTCAAGGCGAGAAGGGCTATATGTCAACAAAGACTTTCGAGTTCGATTACATTCAACTCAAAGGCATATTAAATTTACAACATAACTCATGGAGAGAAGGGTTATATGTTAATAAAGACCTTCGAGTTCAATTACATTCAGCTTAAAGGCATATCAAATTTACATCATAGCTCAAGGCGAGAAGGGCTATCTGTCAACAAATACCTTCGAGTTTGATTCCATTCAGCTCAATGGCATGTCAAATTTACAGCTTAGCTTAAGTTGAGAAAAGCTATCTGTCAACAAGAAACTGTCGAGTTCGATTCCATTCAGCTCGATGACACATTAACCACATGGTAGCATCGAGAAAATACTTTTTGGTTGAAGCCGAGGTTTTCAAGTCAAGAAGATCTGGGGTAATCTGTCAGCTTAGAACAGCATAACTCAAGGCGAGAAGGGTTATCGTTCAATGACAACTTTTGAGTTCGATTCCATTCAGCTCGATGACGTATTAACTACTTTCTGGCTAAAAGTTTAAACCGAGGTCTTTAAGTCGAGAAGAAGACATGGGTTAGCTGTGCCTTAATGACAAGAAACCATTTTCCAGTAGCATAACTTAAGTCGGGAAAAACTATCTATGTGGAGTCAAGAAACTATTTTCCAGTCGAATTTTTAAACCAAGGTCTTTAAACTGAGAAGAAGACTTAAGTTGACTACAATTTGGCAACGAGAAGCCACATTCCGATTCAAATTTAGAACTACGACTTCAATTCCATATCATTTCAAGATGATCTCAACTTCGCGACGGAGGAGTCATCCGCAACTTAGGGAGTTATTCTTAATTGAAATATCAGAGTCAATTTTCAACTCTACCGAACGAAAGTTTGTGTCATTTTATTTTTGTCCTATTTTTTGTTCCACGAAAAAAGATAAAGAGGGATAGTTGTGGACACTAATTTTCGTCTATATATATATATATATATATATATATATTACTTAAAATAATACATTCTTTTTTCTTTTACAGACCCAAGACCAGAACCCAAGTACAAGCAACCCAACAGTGGCCCAGCAAAACACCCGAGATCAACAAGCAACCGGTGGCAGCCCAAGACCTGAGACCCGGATTCGTTGGAGGCCCAATACGAACCAGTTAGGGTTTCTAAAACCCTAACTTTCCACTTTGCGTCGTTCCAGCTGCACCCATCCGAAGATTCCTCACCCAGCCGCAACCAACACCGGTTTTCTCGGTATAACCAACCCAACGATGTGTGGAACAAGGACAACCAACAAACAAGCATTTTAGTCAAAATCAAACACTAAAACTAAACCTAAAAATAGGTTTTTCTTAAGCTATAAATAAGTGTAAAAACACATAACAGAAAAAAAAGAGAAAAATAGGGAGAAACGAAGCATACTTTTGTAATTTTCGAAAGGAAATATTGAATAAAGCAGGTATTTTTACTTACCTTGTTCGGCATTGCACTTGCATATGGTATTTTATTCTTTTTGTTGTTGTTTTTTTATTCTAAGCCCCATAAACCGAACGATTGATGAATTTAAAGGGGTTTGAGATCTTAAATCTCAGATCTAGCCCTCCCCAAGGCTAGTTTTAAAAAAGGGTTCAGATTTTCGAGATGGGGAGGGGAAAAGCTTTCGAAAAACAAACTTTTTTATTTGGCCACCATCGATGAACGGCGGCCAACGAGGTGGTGGCCGGCTGAAAACTGGGGTATTCGCGGTGGTGTTCTTCATTTCACGAAGAACATGAAGAACACCCAGAGAGTTTGCAAGGGCCGATTTTTGATCCATTTTGAGGCAAGTGAAAAAATGAAAACATGTTTCTAAAGTTTGACTTATATAGTTGACCCGACCGACCCGTGACATGATCCACTCAACTAGAGGATTCACGTATTTTTTGAGCAAAAAAGTGGTAATTACATTTCGGTCCCTCACAGTTTTTAAAGCTTTCGTTTTACCCCATAAATCCCCATTTTAATTTCAATTTTCCTTTAAATATTATCATTTATTTTCTTTTTCTTTTAATTGAACCCTTTTGGTTATTATTATTATATATTTCATTTCATTTCATTTTTATATTTATATTTATTTTATTTTTATTTTTTTACTATTTTTTCGTTTTGGTTTCCTTTTTTATTATTTTTTTCTTTTCTCCTAACGTTTTATATATATATATATATATATATATATATATATATATATATATATATATATATATATATATATATATATATATTTATTTGTTCTTTTTAGTTGTTTTCTAAAAAACATTCTTATATATATATTATCATAACATTTTTTGGTTTATTTATTTTATTTATTAAATACTATATTATATATATATATATTACCTAACATTTATTATTATTATTTGTTAGGCTCCCATTATTTTTCCCTTACCCAAAGTCTCCCCTGTGATATGATTAGAGTGGGTTAGGTATTAGTTTTTTTTCTTTTAATTTTGTGGTGGGGTTGATTTAATTATTTTAATAGGTAGTGGTTTGATTATTTTAATAGGTGTAGCGGTTTAGGTTGAATTAATTACCTTTAATCGATTGGAAGTATCCCTAAAAAGTCAAAAATATTAGATTGTAAAAAATATATAAAAATAATAATAAAAATATTAATATAATAATAAGAATAAAATAAATGAAAAAATAAAAAATAAAAAATAAAAGGTAAAAGTAAAAGAAATAAAAAAACTAAAAAATAAATAAAAAGAAAAAAATAGTTAAATTAAAAAACATGAAATAATAAAAAAACCTAAAAATGATTATATAAATAAAAAAAGACTAAAAACAACAGCAACAATAATAATATTTAAAACAATTTAAAAAAGAAAAAAAGGAATAAAAAGAAAAAAAGGTTACGAAATTCACTAAAAAATATAATAATTAACCCAAATTCAACCTAAACCACTACACCTATTAAAATAATCAAACCACTACCTGTTAAATAGTTAAATCAAACCCACCACAAAATTAAAAGCAAAAAATAAAAAATAAAAAACCTATTACCTAACCCCCTCTAATCATATCACAGGGGGAGACTTTAGGTAAGGAAAAAAATAATGGAGGGCCTAGCAAATAAAAATAATGAATGTTAGGTAATATTATCTTGCTTTCGCCCAGCCACCGCCTCACCGGCCGCTGTAGATCGGCGTCAGCCGCCGTTCATCGGCGGTGGCAAAATAAAAAAGTTTATTTTTTCGAAAGTTTTTCTCCTCCCTATCTCGAAAATCCGAACCCTTTTTTTAAAACTAGCCTCAAGGAGGGCTAGATCTGAGATTTAAGATCTCAAACCCCCTTAAGTTCATCGGTCGTTCGATTTATGGGGATTCAAATAAAAAAAACAACAACAAAAAGAATAAAATACCACATGCAAGTGCAAGGCAGAACAAGGTATGTAAAAAAAATACCTGCTTTATTCATTATTTCCTTTCGAAGATTACAAAAGTACGCTTCGTTTCTCATTATTTTATCGTGTTTTTTTCTGTTGTGTGTTTTTACACTTATTTATAGCTTAAGAAAAACCTTTTTTTAGGTTCGGTTTTAGTGTTTGATCTTAACTAAAATGCTTGTTTGTTGGTTGTCATTGTTCCACACGTCGCCGGGTTGGTTGTGCCTAGAAAACCAGCGTTAGTTGCGGCTGGGGCGAGGAATCTTCGGATAGGTGCGGATGGAACGATGTAAAATGGAAAGTTAGGGTTTTAAAAACCCTAACTGATTTGGGTCGACCTCCAACGGATCCGGGTCTCCAGTTCTGGGCTACCACCGGGTTGCTTGTTGGTCTCGGGTGTTCTGCTGGGCCACTGTTGGGTTGCTTGTACTTGGGTTGTGGGCTTGGGTCTATAAAAGAAAAAAAGAATATATTATTTTAAGTAAAATATATATATATGATATATATATAATTATATATATGGACGAAAATTGGTGTCCACAGCTGCCTCTCTTTATCCTTTTTCATGGGACGAAAAATAGGACAAAGATAAAAGGATACAAATTTCGTTCGGTGGAGTTGAAAATTGACTCTGATATTTCAATTAAGAATAGCTCCCTGAGTTGCGAATGAATCCTCCATCGCGAAGTCGAGTCCATCTTGAAATTATATGGAATTGAAGTCGTAGTTCTGAATTTGAATCAGAATATGGTTTCTCGTTACCAAATTGTAGTCAACTTCGGTCTTCTTCTCGGTTTAAAGGCATTGGTTTAAAAATTCGACTAAAAAATAGTTCATTGACTCCACCATGTGGTTGATAGGCCCTCGAGTTGAAAGAAATCGAACTCAAAAATCTTTGTTGATAGATAGTTTTTCTCGACTTAAGCTATGCTGCTGAAAAATGGCTTTTTGTCATTAAGGCACAGCTAACCGAGGTCTTCTTCTTAACTTAAAGACCTCGGTTTAAACTTTTAGCCGAAAAGTAGTTGATATATCATCGAGTTGAATGGAATCGAACTCGAAAGTTTTCATTGACCGATAACCCTTCTCGCCTTGAGTTATGTTGTACTAAGTTGAGAGATTGCCCTAGATCTTTTTCTTGACTTGAAAACCTCAGCTTCAACCAGAAAGTAGTTTCTCGATGCTACCATGTGGTTAATGTGTCATCGAGCTGAATGGAATCGAACTCGATAGTTTCTTGTTGACATATAGTTTTTCTCAACTCAAGCTAAGCTGTAAATTTGACATGCCCTTGAGCTGAATGAAATCGAACTCGAAGGTATTTGTTGACAGATAGCCCTTATCGCCTTAAGCTATGCTGTAAATTTGATATGCCTTTGAGCTGAATGTAATCGAACTCGAAGGTCTTTATTGACAGATAACTCTTCTCGCCTTAAGTTATCTTGTAAATTTGATATGTCTTTGAGTTGAATGTAATCGAACTCGAAGGTCTTTGTTGACAGATAGTCATTCTCGCCTTAAGCTATGCTGTAAATTTGATATGTCTTTGAGCTGAATGTAATCGAACTCGAAGGTCATTATTGACAGATAACCCTTCTCACCTTGAGTTATGTTGTAAATTTGATATTCCTTTGAGCTGAATGTAATCGAACTCGAAGGTCTTTGTTAACAGATAGCCCTTCTTGCCTTGAGCTATGCTGTAAATTTAATATGACTTTGAGCTGAATGTAATCGAACTCGAAGGTCTTTATTGACAGATAGCCATTCTCTCCTTGAGCTATGTTGCAAATTTAATGTGTCTTTAAGCTGAATATAATTGAACTCGAAGGTCTTTTTTGACAGATAGCCCTTCTCGCCTTGAGTTATGCTATAAATTTGATGTGCATTTGAGCTGAATGTAATCGAACTCGAAGGACTTTGTTGACAGATAACCCTTCTCGCCTTGAGCTATGCTGTAAATTTGATATGCCTTTGAGCTGACTGTAATCGAACTCGAAGGTCTTGGTTGATAGATAAACCTTCTCGCCTTGAGTTATGCTGCCAATAGTTCATTTACGTTAATGGTGGCTCATCTTCACTGGTCTAAGTCGGTCATAATTTCTCAGGTGGTTCCCCTTAGCGAGCCTGAACCAAGTGTTATAATCCTTGGATGACTCCCCTTCATGGGAAAGCCATGTGAGGTGTTCTTCGAGTGACTCCTCTTTGCGAGAAAGACAAGTGAGGTAGTCTGCCAGTCGGATATCACCCGTCCTAGAGTTAAAAAATAGTTGCTTGTCATTGAGTTAATCTGAAATGGATTCGTTCTGAATTGACACTCAACCCTATTTGAAGTTGATTTTGAGATATGTAGATCTTCCAATATGTCAAGTTGCTTGAGGTGTAGCTTCTCACCTCTGAGTTAAGCAACCACCATAAATCTTTGAAGGTACTTTTGAATCGAGTATCTTTCATTTTGAAGTCGAAACTTGACTCTAAAAGCTGTAAAAATTATGTATACGAAAAAATGATAAATGTGATGCTCTTAAGTATGTCTAAGATGCATGTAATATGAATTAGTTTTGTTTTATCTCCTGGATGGAGTCTCGTTCTTTGTCTACCGATCTGGTCCAGGGAATTGATCGTTCCCCATTTTCTTCTCGAGTTTCAGCTTCAAGGACCTTTTATATTTGAGATTGTCCTGTTTGAAAATGTTTTTCTCATTTCTCTTATCTTAGGAGGGAAAAAAGATATAAGAATTCTGTAAAACATTGAACATTAATTCAGGCTCGC